TCTAATACCAGTAGTTATTCTTTGCTAGAATTGAATCTTTTTATGCTCATTTTTTAACTGACTACTATTTATGTTATGGTTGAAGTTGATATGCAAATCTGGGTCACAGCTGCCTCTAGATTCTTAGTCCAACTTCTCTACCAGCTGTGAACAACAAGACCCAGTTACTTACTGTCCAGCACATCATTTTCACTGTAATCGACTAAAGTTTGCTAAAACTTTTTTACAACAAGCTGTCATCTTAATTCTGTCACATAACTCAGTCACTGTATTTTAATTCTCTTTTTTATTTGGACCAGCTTTGCTGTTCACATAAAATGCAACATAGAACAGTCATTTTTGTTTTGATCGTTTCAAGTAATAAAGTTGAATGTTTTAATCACCTAGTTAGTTCTATTTGATATAAGATTAATGTAAATTGTTTTTTATGTGTGTTTATATTTTATATGACATGGGATCAGAGAATTGGTCGATTCCCTAATTCATCATCATCATCATCATAATTGCGGCACTTTGTTTTCCCTTTTTTTGGAGAGTAAACATTTATAAATTTCTAGCATGTATCATTTCCCATGTATCCCGTGTATCACAGTCTGTTAACTATTACTATCGTGTAATTCATTCTCAGTTTTGTCGTCTTAAATAATCCTTCTGTATTCATTACTCTATCCCTATGAATGCAAAATTCGTCTACATTCGTATTTGTTTTTACAAATTTCTCTAATTACTGCCGCCTTGTCTTTTAATTGTGTATGCGTAATCGGTGAACACGTTAAAAACTCCACATACACATGCATACATGCGTATATATATATATATATATATATATATATACCAATAGTACTAGTTTCTTTGTCGTCGGGTGTAGAATTAACAGAGATAAAAGCTATGAAATTGCTTCTTTGTTCTACCTTATTTCTTCATTAGTATACGCATTTGTATTAACTGGTAATTTATCATTCTATGCTTGTATTTTAATTCAATGCCTATTCTCTTTCCTTGGTTTATTTGTTTATTTTACACTGTGATACAGGTGTGAAAGGTTTATTATTTTAGATTCATGAATTATTATGGTTATTACTATTATTTTTATTAATAGTAGTAGTGGTAGTATTTGGATTATTGGACAAAATAGAACGTAAAGTTGGATTTTTTTTCAGATAGGGGTATCTGGTGTGTACTTCTTCGCGGAATGTAAATGCTTTTGTGGTGTCGATTTTCCTACTACCGGAGAATAGATTTCTTCTGTCTTGTTTGCCTGTCACATAATGATATCAAACTATCAGACATTCAGCTATGTGGTATAGATGGTGACTAGCCCTAGCTAGAATCCAGGCTTCACATATCGCCTTATTTAGGACTCCTCAGTTGAATGTGCCTGAAATCCTCGGTGAGTGACGATTTTTCTACTCAAACATACTGAGGAGTCATCAGATGAATTCATCTGATTCATTCACGTTTGAAGCATCCGCACTAGGAGTTGGAATGTCAACAGAAAACAAACATTTTGATACATTCTCACACAGGAAAGACAAAAATTAACTTAATATTATTAAAAGCATCCATTCTTCCATATAAACATTATCTACAAATTTTAATTTCAGAGTCAATTAATATCTTTTGCATTTATACTACTTCTAAGTAGTATAATATTAAGCGCAAAATTATTTCAAGTTTATACAGAATTCTTATTGCTGAAGTCATGCAGACCATAAAATTTAATCTTCTTTTAACTTCTTTTTCTTCTTATGTAAAAGGGGAATCAGTTCACATGGCTACCCTTAATTACTTCCTATTCATTATATTCTGTGTCTCTTGGAAATCGTATGCGGTCATTTTAAACCTTTCTGACGAAGAATTATATCTGTTTATTCATGATTGAGCACTAAGACTTATTCAGTACAGGAATATTTCTTGCTAGCAACCACTTTATAATCGAATTGTCCCATACGATCAACCAACACATGATTAAAAGTGAATAGGAAGAAAGAGAGAAGGTAAGGAGCGTTGGGATGAGTTGGGAGGAAAAGTCGACATTCACTGAAGAGAGGAGGTAATTGGTGGATTAAGTACTGTCAAATATATATAAAGTGAAGTGATGAAACTAACTGGAAAGAGCATTGCCAGAACTAAGGCGAAAAGAATATGCTTCTGAGAATGTCTTTGAACACAGAACTTTGTCCATATATAGTTAGTATTTAAGTTATGTGTAAGTAGTAAAAACGGGAAGCTTTTATATTAGTTTGTTCATTAGATGTATCACAGTGAAGAAACAGTATTATTTACTGGATGACATTTCGATCACAATTCATTATTGTTCATAATCATGCCATCAATTATAATCACACGACTTTGAAACTTGAGTTTTATAGTTTTATTTGTTCTGTCCTATTTGTCGTCGTTGGATGTTTAGAATTTTCCAGATATATGGGACAGGTGTTGATTCATTCCTGTTACATGTATTTGCAGTTGATTACATAAACAAAGCTTCCGTTATCAGTCCCTATGACATTAGATTTTAAAACTGTCATCCTATCCCATCCATCCTATTGTGTGGTTGTGTGCAACTGTATGTAGTGAGTGCTATAGCTGAACTATTCTCTAGATTTCTTATCTTATTCGGATCAACCAATCTAGATTTTTCTAGGTTCGAATCCAGGTGGTTGCGTACTGCTGAAGAGTCGCAAACTAGGACGAAACGGCTATACAGTACTCCCAGGTTTAAGAAGCTTTGTTTATCGAATCAGCTGGGAATACCTGCCTGCAATAGGAATGATTCAACATCTGTCCAGCCAGATATCTGGAAAATTCTACTACCCCTACGACGACAAAATAGGAGAGGACAAAGGAAACTATAAAACTCAACTTTCAAAGTCGTGTGATTATAATTGGTGATACGATTATGAACAATAAATTGTGTTCGAAACTTCATCCAGTAAATACTAATACTGTTTCACTGTGTGATATATCTAATAAACAAACTTATACGGAAGCTTTTAATTGGTTAAATTTCAGTCTAGTAGACAAAAGCAGTGAGTAACGAAATATTTAATTTCCTATCAGATCCTCATCTATGTCTCTACCCTAATATATATATATATATATATATATATACGTGTAGCAAGCTATATGTAGTTCCAAAGGAGTGTTTGGTATAACAAGTGCAAGCTGTCCTCCTTCTTGGTTTTGACTGATATCGTCTGACTTTTTAAACCAATAATTGGGAGTCACACTTCAGTAGTAAGAAACGAAACTTTCGGTCCAGCAGAGACAAACAATAGAAAATCCAATAGTTTCGATAATTGGTAACCGGTACATGTTGCACAAGAACTGATTGTTGTGGTACAGAGCAGTCTATTAAGGATGCTTTGGAGTTTTTTTTCACTATGAGTGTTTGGTTGTTGTTTTCATGGGGACATTTTCACACTGAGATGCGGGTGCATTGAATTGATGAGTCTTGAATAGGGCAAAACACCCTTCCTGGATTCCACTTTTAGTTTCAGACAAAGGTGAAACAACAGTCTAAGGCTGGTTGGTTTTCAGTGTTTCTGTGTTTTAACTGATTAAAAATGTCCATTAAATTTTTTCAAAAGAATGGATACTGAACAAAGAATACTCTTTTCTATAACCTATTCATCATCAGGCTCTACAGTTAAATATACACATTATAGTGAATGAATGAATGAATGAATTAGTGTTATGAACAACATTAATGTTGCTGTTTAAATAACATCGAATCAATAATATTCTTGATAGATTACAGTTCAATAGCATCAACATAAAATAAACTGAATGTCAGAAAATAATTAGGAAAGATAATATCACAGACTGATAAATTGGTAGTCTCTACTGAAGGCCGGCCAGGGTAGTAGTATGGGCTGGCTGGCTGGAATTGCTTCTTTTCAACACAGAGCACTAGTTGTTCGAGGCGAATTGCAATAGCCTCTTCTGTTTGGAGAATGCGGGGCTTCGATGACTTTGGAAATTTATTAGACACCCAGTAGATTATAGAGAAGGATTCTTCAGTGGTGGCTGGCTTTGTGGCCGGTTTGCACCAGATGGTCCAATATCGAACTGTTAATGGTTTTCACTACACCTTTACTTAGCCATAGTGGGAGATGTTCTCGAGCGAGCACGAAAAATCAAGTTCCTAGAGCAACAGCCGATATACCTCGGTCCACCACAAGCGCAGTCGAGTTGGTAGATACAATATGAAGTGGATAGCTAGTCTAGGTACTTCATTTTTCAGTCGAGTAATCACCGTCGGTCGTGTAGAGAATAATACATGTAGCTCTCCAGCATTAACAGTTATTTGAACCGATTATCTTAATTTCTTCGTAATCATCTCACTTGTTATACCGCCCTTGAATTGTAGTCGTATATAAAGGGGCTTCTTGTTTACAGATAGTGAGTAATCCTTTTCCGCTTTCTTTGTCATGTGTTTCTTGGTAAATTTATCGGGATAGCCATTTTCGATCAAAGTATCATATACAATGCTTAATTCATCTTCAATTACTTCTTCTGAGCAAATAGCTCTAACTCTATGGCTGAGGGTCTTCACTAAATTTCTTTTGTACTTGATAGGAACGAAGCTGTGAAAATGTGTATATTGTCCTGTCCAAGTGCTCTTTTCATGCAAATTTCTTTTTATGCTACCATCTGGTTTTCTTGTAAGTAGGACATCCAGGAAAGCAATTCTGTCTTGGGATTCCTCTTCACATGTGAATTTCATAGCCGAATGTACTTCATTGAATTCAGTAATTATTGTACTCCTGTCAGAAGCATTATCACATTAACACATAATCTGTGTTTGATTTATTCTTCCATAGTATTCAGCTATATACGCAGACCAACATGTTCACTTTATTACCGCTAGATAAATTTCAGGTGTGATTAAAACAAGATATCACTGTTCATTGTACTAAGATTCTGTCATAAAACTTTATTTATTTATTCCATGCTTAAATGTGCTCGCATTTCATTCTGTATCACTTTTGCAGGTAACATTAAGTAGTGCACAACGTGGAGAAATAGAACTATGGTTAACTTCTCCAGCTGGGACAGTTTCTCAACTGTTAAGTAAACGACCAAAAGATATAGATGTGGCTGGATTTCATGCATGGCCATTTATGTCTGTGCATTATTGGGGGGAATTGGCCAATGGAACTTGGAAACTAACTGTGAAATCTGGAAATGCTGTTGGTAAGTCTAATTTAGTCAGTCACTTTTCTCTAACCTGTTATACTCTTTCTTATTTCATAATCAAGATGTGTCAATTGATGCTTACATAACAGATCTCCACCTTCTACACATTTAGAAAGAGCAAAAAAAAAAAGAATTGAGCAGAGAGTATCCTTTTTGATATTTTCCTCTTCTGGCTCTACAATTATATATATATTTTTTTCTTTCACATTCCCAGTGGAACATAGGGCTTCAAGCTGGAGACTTGAACTTTCTGTAGCAGTGGTGTTTATTTTTACAGGATGGGGTTGCTAGCCTCATGCCCAACCTTTCCTCTTTACCGACTTTTATTACTGGTTTGGTGAGGTAGAGGAGTGCACCGGTCGGGGATCAAACCCCGGACCATGTGCATGGTTGGCAAGCGTCCTAACCACTATGCCACCGACGCATATATATATATATTTTTTTCAAGTATTGGTTTTTGTAGGGATTTTGTTTGATTGCATGGAGGATTTAATCATGAGCTGACATCAGTTAGAGAACCACTGGAAAACCTGGGAGTACTGGACAGCCGTTTCGTCCTAGTTTGGGACTCCTCAGCAGTACGCACCCACCGGGATTCGAACCCAGGACCTTCTGGTTACAAGGCGAGCTCGTAGACCATTGAGCCACTGGCACCCGATCTAATGGTCCTTGAATTCTAACTTCTGCCAGTTCACGACATAGCGCGACCACTTCGCAATGTCTTCTTCGATGAGTTACTGCCTCATCTTCGACCTGCTGTACCCTACTGGTCACGGCTTCCCACTAGAACCCCAGGTTAACTGCCTGAATAGGGCCAGTCACTAGTGAGCATCAGATGAATTTTCAAGTATATATATATATATATATATATATATAATATTCTAGAATAACCATCATTAACAATATTGGTGCTTTCTAAATACCATCGATTTGTTAGGTAAAATCAAAGGAATTACAATCCGAGAAAGACGCTTTAGTTATAATAAGTTATGATGAGACCTGACCATTGAGAGTAGAAGACATGAAAAGATTAGCTGTCTTCGATCATAGGTGCCTGTGCTCTACCTCCCGTGTGAGGTGGTATAATAAGGTGAACAATATTGAGGTTAGGCGTCGAATGCTAGGTAAGGAGGGGAAATCAATCGACGTGGCTGTGAAATTACATCGACTGATATGGTTAGGACATATGTTACATATGCCTAGTCATCGCCTTCCTCGATGGGCAATATTGGCTGATATAGGGTCAGACTAGAAAAGAGCTAGCGGTGGTCAAACGAAAACATGGCAGCAGTTAATAAAATTCACAACAGTTAGTTGAATCCAGTCACGTAGGAAGGTGTAGAATTCCTGACTGGTTGGAGTCCTTGGGACGGTAGAAATCAATGGTTGGAAAAATTTTGTGACATGACTCAAAGTGGTCGTTGTCAATGGCTGGTGCAGATGCATCCACTCCTTGTGACTTATGACTTCCAGTGAAACTCATTTGTTTGTTGTTGTTACTATTCCTTTGTCTCACACCTCAGTTTACTGTCTCTGTTATGCATTTCTTCCACTTTCTTCTCTTGCATTGTGTGCTACAAGGAGGGAGTGTGGTGACTTGAACTGCTGCACATCTGTGCAAGGCAGTTCTATGTCGAAAACAAACAGAACAGACAGACCACCGGCGCACTCCTTCAAATATAACTACTATTTATTAGGATACAACATTTATCAACTGCACATATTGACTTGAATCAACGGGTAGATCTATAGATCAAGAATATGATAAATAAATTACTGTTTGAGAAGAAGAAAAGGTAAATTCATGGAAATTAGATTGCAGAGATTCTGATTTGTCTTCCGTTTCTTCTGCTATCAAAAATTAGTAATAGATAAACGGTGACATGTCATAATAGCATAAAGAAGTATTTTAAAATGACAGACGAGATTAACTTCTTTTTCTGTTCTAACATGATTTCATCTCCAGTTCTTGTATCTTTCATAGCACTAACAGACAGGTAAAGATTCGCCTTTTCTTAGTTTTCTGAATATTTGTAGTGATTGTGTTCCTCTTTATCCGAAAGCATTTAATTTTTGCATTTATTACAGTCTATATTTATGAATGACCAGTAGGGTGCAGCAGGTCGGGTGTGAGGACAAATACTTGCCGAAGACATTGCCTAGCGGTCGCGCTATGTCATGAATTGGCAGAAGTTAGAATTCACGCACTGGTGGTCATTAGATCCGGTCCCAGTGGCTTAATGGTCTACTATCTCGATGGCCTTGTAACCAGAAGGTCCTGGGTTCAAACCATGGTAGGTAAGTGCGTGTACTGCCGAAGAGTTCCGAAGTAGGACGGAGGAAACAGCTGGCTGTCCAGTATTCCCTGCAGGTTTTCCAATGGTTCTCTAACTGATGTGTCAGCTCATGATGAAATCCTGTAACCAACCAAATCCCTACAAACTAACACTTAAATAACAATTAGAAACTCTTAAGATGATTTTCATAATAGTTGTCAGTGTAGACTGCATCAGAAATATTCTAGAGAGTGTAAATTTTGACTTCGTTTTACTATTTTAACAAACTATGCATGTCTTTATTCCTTTTAGTATCAATCCATGATTGGAGTCTCATTTTGTATGGGACAAATACTCCCCCGCCATCTGTGCCGATTTCTTCGCACAGACGAGGTGTTCGTCAACTGCCTAGAAATCAAGAACCTAATCTTTCTGTGAAAACACAAAAAACATGGGTTAATTCACAGAAAGATAAATCGCCTCCATCTAAATCTGTACAACAACTTCAACAAAAATCTATACAGACTTCAAAGCATTTTTCTTTTGATTCAACTGTAAATCCTCCTAGTGAAAATAGTAATAATAATAATAATAATCTTGATCATTCTGCTTTCAGTCTAACTGAAAATCACAATTCATATCCGTATCCACCATTTTATTATTTAAATAATCAAAATTCTTATCGATATTGGCCTACTTGGAATAATGAATATCAGGGCCTGTCACCCATTCCAGCTCCACCACCTCTTCCTCCACCCCCACTGCCACCAGCACCAGCAATTTCTGTCGTCCCATTGCCATCTTCCTCATCATCATCATCGGCTTCGTTGTCTCCGTCTTTATCACCGTCTTCATCTCATGGATCTCATGACGTATATGCACACTACTTCCCTCCATCATCTATCCCATTCTCTTCAATAGATCATTCTTCTTCTTCTTCTTCTTCAAAAAATGTTTTAGACCAATCGAATCCATCAATTGATTTCGACTTACCAGCATTAGTTGTACAGTCAAATGATTTTACACATTTAAAAGCAACATCAAATACACTGAATCGAAATGAATATTCTGAGAAGAAAGAAATTATTTTATCGCATGATCATGAACAATATTCAGTTAATCAACAAGAATCATCAATACAACAACAACAACATCATAATAATAAAATTATTATGAATAGTGATAAAAAAGTATCATTTAATTGTGTATCTTGTGTTAGTATAAATCAACTCTTCATAATAATAAGTACTGTTATGCTGGTATGCAGTTTGTCTATCATGTATACAAAAGTTTAAATCTACTTTTTTTTAATCTTATTCAATATTTCTTTTGAATTAATTAATTAATTAATAAGTGATTTATTATTATGCATAGTTCAAATAAAATAAATTAGTAATTTCTTGATGACTGACATTCATTTTAATCTTTATTTATTTTGAGGCAAATGATTAAATTGTACTATTGTATATGATTCAATGTGTCAATTGAAGAATATGTTGAACATTGAATTATTTGTTTTAATAGTGTGTATGTGTGTTTTATAGCTAATATTATTTAAATGAAAACAAACAAAAAAGATTGAATAATTTTTGTGCTTTCATCCTCTCTTTTTTTTAAAAAAAAAATGGTAGTAATATTAAGGTTATCCTTTTTCTTTCCTTTTGTTTTCTTTTTTTTATTTGATTTATTTATTTTACACTAATATTTTATCTTTTGAATGAATAATGTTCACAACTTGTGTGTGTGTGTGTAACTTGTCCAACCTTGATTTGCGCATGGTTATTATTGTTAACCAATGAAATATTCATTTCAACTGTGCAAAAGGATGAGAAGTATTCATTTGGCTTTGTTGTAAAAGCATTCCTCTTTACAGTAATGATAATAATAGTAATGCTACTACTACTACTAATAATAATAATATACACTTGTGCTTCTTCATTTTCACATACATTAATGCATTTATCTAATGTCAGTGTGTATTTTTATCAATGGAATATGAACCAGTTTAACTAAAGTTGAAGAGAATTACTGTTTGTCCTCTTTCATAACTCTTATAATAATAATTTCTGCATTATTATTATTATTATTATTATACGCACAACAAACCTGTTGATTGATTATTCAAATTTCTCGGCAAAATACCAAAGAAATAAACTTGAGTTGAAAATAACAAACAAACAAAAACAAGCATCCACTTCTCTGTTGTTGTTGTTGTTTTTGTTCTCTCGCACAATCTCGAAGTTATTCAATATAATATACCCACCTTTTTTGTGTAGGTTATCACCTACAATTATTTTGTTTTTTTGCTTTTCAGGCTAAATTATCTCTTTTCTGTCTGCAAACAATGAAAAAATTGTCTGTCTTTTATTTCTATTCATGGTGTAATGGAATACCTTTTCCTTTTTTGATCTTGCATTTCAATTGTGTGTGTGTGTGGTTCACACTCATTGATGCACTGAACTCACAATAGCTCTTTTTTGACACTTTTTTCAAGCTATCACAATGTGAACAAGCTACTACTTACTACTTTGTGCGGTATTATTTGTACTCATTACCGCCTACTTTTTGTGTGCGTGTGTGTGTGTGTGACAACTCATCTGGCTATTTATTTATTTTTATTGATCGTCTTTCTTCTCCTATTCATATAAAATATTCTTTCCTCTGAAAGGTTAAAAAATGAATGTGGGGTGGGGTGGGGAGGTGATTTCTTTTCCAGTAATGATGATGATGATGATCTTAATTATTACACTGTATGCACAAGTTGTATTCTTTTCACACTGTTCTTGTCTTCTCTTCAAAATTTTCTATATGTTGTTCTGTGTATTGTGAAATTGTCTGCTATAATAATCCTACAATCGTTTTTATGTGATAACTTAAAAATATCATTATGTACACAATGTACTCAATCGATCTCGTGTGTGTGTGTGTGTGTGTAATATAGGTTTACATAAACAACAGATAGTGATGTGATGTGATCATTATTCTTGATGAAAAGAAACACATAATGCTATCTGATCGCGCTTCTTTTTGCTTCTTTTTTGCATCTTAACTACGATTGAATACGATTTTAGTTTGTGTCGCTCTACATGACTGTTGACGTGCATGCAATGAATGCAGTATGTGTGTGTGTGTGTAAATCAGTTCTTCATAATATATATATATATATATATATATATATATATATATATATATATATATGCATATATTATTATTATGTATTATGCACAAACTCAAAATTCTACCTCACTTTTATTGACTATTCTCTTGATGATGATGTTTGTGTTTAATTGTTGTTGTTGGTGGTGGTGGTGTTTCGTTAGTGTTGCTGCTGTTGTTGATTTTAAGACTTTGGAATTTAAGAGTTTCTATTCTAATTATCCTTATATTCTTGTGTTATTATCAATTAGTAGTACTGTTCATATGATTTATCCGTAATATAATACAATATAATAATAATAATAATATATAATTCAGATCTGCTTTTATCCCCCACTTGATACCTTTATTAAGAGTAATTAAAATATCCACGGAGGATTTCCTCATGAGCTGATATCAGTTAGAGAACCATTGGAAAACCTGCAGGGAATACTGGACAGCCAGCTGTTTCCTCCGTCCTACTTTGGAACTCTTCAGAAGTACACGCACTTGCCTACCATGGTTTGAACCCAGGACCTTCTGGTTACAAGGCCACCGAGATTGTAGACCATTAAGCCACTGGGACCGGATCTAATGACCACCAGTGCATGAATTCTAACTTCTGCTAATTTATGACATAGTGTGACCACTTCTCAGTGTCTTCTTCGATGAGTTACTGCCTCATCTTCAACCTGCTGTACCCTACTGGTCACGGCTTCCGACTACAACCCCAGGTTAACTGCCTGAATAGCACCAGTCGCAGGTGAACATCAGATGAATCATCAAGTATTGGTTTTGTATGGATTTTATTTGATTGGATGGAGGATTTCAGCTGTCCAGTACTCCCAGGTGATTTTCTACTGGTTGTTCTTTTTTGTTCTTTTTTTGTTCTTTTGATTTACAGCTTGATTCCACACTGTATTTTTGGTACATGTATGGAATTTTCAGCATGGATATCGGTAGCCCAAATTTTGCAGGCCGACCATAGATATCAGGTGTGCGCCGGCGTGGGCTCGAACCCCGGACCATGTACATGGTCGGCGAGAGTCCTAACCACTGTGCCACCGACGTTCTCTAACTAATGTCAGGTCATGTTGAAATTCTCCATGTAGTCAAACAAAAATCTCTGCAAAAGCAATACTTGATAATTAAAATTGGTTTTCTGTATTATATCCAGTATTAGAGGCATCATTTTCGTTCATAAAAAAAAATTACTATAAGAGTAACAGTGAATGCACTTACCTCTTTATGAAGTACACAGTTCGAAGTAGAATTCCCCAATGTTTCCTTTACGGACACATGAAATATTCGGGTAACAACCTGTAATCCCCTTGACTTGATAAATAGTCATACAAAGACTAAACAAAAATGAAAGATCACATATATATACCACTCATTTACATGAATAATTGAAAAAACAACTCATAATACTCAATCGTATAGTCAACAACCAAATATTGTACGAAAACGAATCACTATTGCACTACACAGATACATTAATTTCCCAAACAATATACATATTGAAACGTACAATATCGCGAATAACTCCCAAATCTCAGAAAGTACAACTCCCAGTCCACATAAATCCAAACCAAATTTTCAATCATTAATTTAACAATCTGTTATAAGAAGCCAATAATTCTAAAAACTTCTAACATATAACAACACAAAAAAACCACACACAAAATCATTCAGCGAAGAACACACACAAAAGAACACACCGACAGACAAGCTGAATTCCAGGGAAACACAGACACACAGTCACACGGAGAGAGTGTTGTCGAGGGATGAACTCAGACGCATTGATGCAGACACGAGGACATTCATACGGTCGTGAAGGAATCGCACTCACACGTACACATACACACTCATCGACTCACCGAATCACCAAACCACCCACCCACTCAATCAGTCAGTCAATCAGTCACACACACACACACACGGAGAATGATGACGACATTCGATGGTGGTATTGTGAATGTGTTAAAATGGTAGGGGAGATTGTGACTGTGCGTGGGTATATAGGGAGGAGTTGATTTGTCAGAGGTCATTCGTGGTGGGTTGTTGGGTATGGAGGATGTTGGAGGATTGTGTGCAGAGTGATGTGATGATGAGTTGTTGAGTGTTAGTGGTGGGTATGTTTGCTTTTGTGTTGTGAGGGATGAAAAGCGGAGTGCGTCGGCCGGGAATCGAACCCGGACCGCCCGCGTGGCAGGCGAGCATTCTACCATTGAACCACCGACGCCCACAACTCAGCCAACCAATCACTAACACACTACTCCAAAATACATCATTCGATCACCAAAATATCACAACTAAACTACATTAACAAACACAAGCATTGCAACAACTAACACTGGAAACAATACAACGACCACCACAACGGAAACAAACTAAGAAGAAAATCCACTGCAACAACACATCAATCAGCCGACATCACATATCATTCATAGCACCCCATTCGGAAAGCTAGACAAAACACACACACACACACAAATATATATATACATATATATGTGTATGTATGTATTACCCTCACATCATTCATCACCCCGTCGGAGAGTTCTCTCGTCAACATGGTCAAAGTAGGTGGAAACGTGGGTGAAAGCTTGGCTGAAGTGGAGAATAGTGGGAAATTCGCTGGTTGAGGTCGTGGGGAGAAATATGTAGGAGTGGGTGACAATGTCGTGAGAATGGGAAGAAGTGGATATTTTATGCTGCATTTCAGCCACTTCTTGATCACGCCTCATCCGAATAAAATTGACACATTTCCCAAATTCACCCATGTGCATTCTGTAAACAGACAATCTCTGTCTGATGACTTCTGATGAATATTGGTGAGAAGCATAAGCTAAACGGTTGCTTGTCAAACTCCACTGATCACGACTCGTGTCAGGCAGCGACGAATACCTTCGACAATCTCAACTCGCTGGACTCTTTCAGTGGGAGACTAGTTTGTCGAATGTGAGTGTTTGTCACCACCAGTCAGATTCACTCTAAGGGAATGTGTGTATGTATGTATGTATGTGTGTGTGTGTGTGAGTGAGTGTGTCTGTGAGAGATCATTTAGTGAATCATTTAGTGAGTGTGAGGGTTAGAGAGGAGGAGTGAGGGAGGGAGGGAGGGAGGGAGGGAGAGAGAGGGAGAGAGAGACAGTCGTTGAGTGACATGGTTCCTCTCTATTCACGAATAACACATTGGCTCATTGCATATTGCACAACGTGATCCACTCAGTCATCCACAGAGTCCCACATATGTCCTCTCACACTGAATTTTTATTACATGTCACGAGCAGGGTCTCCACCTCCAAACTTCCCGAAACAACACAACACTACACAACACACCAGAACACAACACGCATCAACACACACACACACACACAGACACGTCAATTAACTCACTCACCCACACACTCACTCACTCACTGACGCAGGAACACGCACCCATTCACACCCACACACATGCACACACCGACAGACAAGCTGAATTCCAGGGAAACACAGACACACAGTCACACGGAGAGAGTGTTGTCGAGGGATGAACTCAGACGCATTGATGCAGACACGAGGACATTCATACGGTCGTGAAGGAATCGCACTCACACGTACACATACACACTCATCGACTCACCGAATCACCAAACCACCCACCCACTCAATCAGTCAGCCAGTCAGTCAATCAGTCACACACACACACACGGAGAATGATGACGACATTCGATGGTGGTATTGTGAATGTGTTAAAATGGTAGGGGAGATTGTGACTGTGCGTGGGTATATAGGGAGGAGTTGATTTGTCAGAGGTCATTCGTGGTGGGTTGTTGGGTATGGAGGATGTTGGAGGATTGTGTGCAGAGTGATGTGATGATGAGTTGTTGAGTGTTAGTGGTGGGTATGTTTGCTTTTGTGTTGTGAGGGATGAAAAGCGGAGTGCGTCGGCCGGGAATCGAACCCGGACCGCCCGCGTGGCAGGCGAGCATTCTACCATTGAACCACCGACGCCCACAACTCAGCCAACCAATCACTAACACACTACTCCAAAATACATCATTCGATCACCAAAATATCACAACTAAACTACATTAACAAACACAAGCATTGCAACAACTAACACTGGAAACAATACAACGACCACCACAACGGAAACAAACTAAGAAGAAAATCCACTGCAACAACACATCAATCAGCCGACATCACATATCATTCATAGCACCCCATTCGGAAAGCTAGACAAAACACACACACACACACAAATATATATATACATATATATGTGTATGTATGTATTACCCTCACATCATTCATCACCCCGTCGGAGAGTTCTCTCGTCAACATGGTCAAAGTAGGTGGAAACGTGGGTGAAAGCTTGGCTGAAGTGGAGAATAGTGGGAAATTCGCTGGTTGAGGTCGTGGGGAGAAATATGTAGGAGTGGGTGACAATGTCGTGAGAATGGGAAGAAGTGGATATTTTATGCTGCATTTCAGCCACTTCTTGATCACGCCTCATCCGAATAAAATTGACACATTTCCCAAATTCACCCATGTGCATTCTGTAAACAGACAATCTCTGTCTGATGACTTCTGATGAATATTGGTGAGAAGCATAAGCTAAACGGTTGCTTGTCAAACTCCACTGATCACGACTCGTGTCAGGCAGCGACGAATACCTTCGACAATCTCAACTCGCTGGACTCTTTCAGTGGGAGACTAGTTTGTCGAATGTGAGTGTTTGTCACCACCAGTCAGATTCACTCTAAGGGAATGTGTGTATGTATGTATGTATGTGTGTGTGTGTGGGTGTGTGTGGGTGGGTGTGCCTGTGTGAGTGAGTGTGTCTGTGAGAGATCATTTAGTGAATCATTTAGTGAGTGTGAGGGTTAGAGAGGAGGAGTGAGGGAGGGAGGGAGGGAGGGAGGGAGAGAGAGGGAGAGAGAGACAGTCGTTGAGTGACATGGTTCCTCTCTATTCACGAATAACACATTGGCTCATTGCATATTGCACAACGTGATCCACTCAGTCATCCACAGAGTCCCACATATGTCCTCTCACACTGAATTTTTATTACATGTCACGAGCAGGGTCTCCACCTCCAAACTTCCCGAAACAACACAACACTACACAACACACCAGAACACAACACGCATCAACACACACACACACACACACAGACACGTCAATTAACTCACTCACCCACACACTCACTCACTCACTCACTCACTGACGCAGGAACACGCACCCATTCACACCCACACACATGCACACACCGACAGACAAGCTGAATTCCAGGGAAACACAGACACACAGTCACACGGAGAGAG